ACATGTAGATGGGATGCATGGAATTCTCAGCTTGGTCTGGATACTCTTAAGCGTGGTGATAGGTTTCCGCATGTGTCAGATACCCGGCTGACCAAAAAACAATGGTTGCCTTCTGTGTAGGAACTATCGAAGTAGGAAAAATTTAGCCCAGTCGCTTCACTGATGAGGGCAAACTTTGATGCTGTGAGCTTCGGTTGACAGGTGGGGGCGGTGGTGGGGAGAGAATTCTAAGCAATTTTCCAGCAGATAAGAAAGCAATTTTGAATTATTTGACACTTATTTTGATAGTAGGATCCTGAGACACACCAGACAAATTATACATTAAATCTTGAGAAATGTTAAAACAGGGTCAAATATTCAAGTATTAATTATCACATTGTTGAAAAGGTCAATCCTCTTGATAACTAAAAACATCAACTGGACCAGTGGTGTGACCCTCTCCCTCTCCCCCCCACCTCTCCCCTTGACACAGTGGTTGAGCCTGAAGGTGGCCTAGTTTGCAGGATGCTTTGGACTTGCTGTCCTGTGGATCACAATGAAATGCCAGTTAGCAGGACACCAGCTTAACTGAACAAAAAAATCAGAGTAAAATCAGTATCTGGCTAATTGGCTTTCCAATGCTACAATCTACAGGCCAGCAAGTCAAATCCACACGGCAAGCTGTTTTCAGGCTCAAGAATTGTGACGTAGTTGGGGAAGAATACCCACAGATCAGTCGGTGCCTGCAGTTATCGACAGGGCTGAATTTTCAATGATTTGATAATTAGCATCAGTTAGTGTTAATTAGGACCCATGTTAATTAACACATCATGAGTCGAAATTTTCTTTCTGGAGTGTATTATTTAGACATTTTGTAAAGACGAAGCGAAGATGATTTTGGAAGTTGTTTTTGGGGGTGAGCCACGTCCAGAAACCCAGCACCATGCTTTAGGGTTTTCAAACCAGACTGAGAGTGCCATGCATCCCATCTGAATGTGGCAATTCCCATGTTTGGAATGAAATGCGCACTCTCTCTACGGAGGGATGCATCCTGCTCTCCTAGATCCAGAAAGCATTAGGTGCAGTTCGGTGAGCCAAGGCGTAGGGACCCTAGGTACTGGGGCACTACTGAAGTTTAATCAGATAAAACCACATAGTTTAGTGGGAGGATTCCCTGCCCCAGTAACTAGTCTACCCTTCCAAGTCCTACAATGAGCCAACCTGGCTGAGTCTTCGATAGACCCGCGTGGCTCAGGAGCTAGACTACCGAGATCACTACAAAGGGTAGGCTCAATCCTGATATTCCATTGCCAAGCATGTCATCTTCGATCCATTTCAGCTTCAAGGGCATTTGAGGAAAGAGAATTGGGGGAAAGAGTGAAAATAGGGCAAAAAATGAATGACTTTGGGACCATAAGTAAGGTGATTGAAACATGTTATATTTATTGAAATGTTGTATGAGTTGAATTTTAGCAGTAGAATGTTCTTGTCACAGTGATAAAACAACTCCTGATATCTGAGTGCCTTTTTATTTCGGAAATGTTAGGGTTCAACTGAGGGTCACAGAGCAGAAAATCAAATTTTCCCCAAAAATGGCTAGCTCAGGGAGTTTGAAATTCTCTGGATGTTAGTGGTCTGAGCACTTGCACTGCAAAATACATATTAAATATTGACACGATGGGTGGAATGGCCCATATTTTTTCTGTGCTGTAAATTTATCCATATGCTTATGTGATTATGTCTCAGTATCTGTAAGCAACTGGAAAATATAATTTTCTTCATTTCGATTAATTGTACCATTTACCATTAATTGTACCATCAACAAAATATAGTCTGCGTATCGTTGAAAATTTCCACTTTTGTTGTTACCAAAGTTTTATGTGTATTACAGCACTTTTTATGTCAATACAACACAATATTACATTTGTAAAGTGACTTTTACGTCGGGAGGATGTCCCAAGGCACTGAACAGTCAGGGATTAAGACCTAAGCCGTGGTGGTGGGGTGGGGGAAAGGGGGGGTTGGGAATCAGGGACGGTGGAAGGCAGCGAGAGTAGGAGGGTGGCCAAAGGCACGGTCAAAGAGAAAGGTCTTGAGGGGTGCCTTGAAGGAGACAAGGGATGGAGCGAGGCAAAATGAATGCGGTTTGGAGTTCCAGAGGGTGGGGGCAGAGAGGCTGAAGGTCCGACCGCCGATGGTGGGGCGGGCCAGGTTGGGGACATGGAGCAGGCCAGAGCCTGCTGAGCGGAGGGAGCCGACAGGTTTATAAGGGGTTAGCAAGTCCTAGAGTTAGGCGGTGGCAAGGCCAAGGAGGGCCATGAAGGTGAACTCGATCCTCTGAGGGATAGGAAGTCAGTGGAGCCAGGTGAGGGTGGGTATGATAGGGGGAGAGGACACGAGCTGCAGAGTTCTGGATGATCTGGAGGGACGAGTTGGGAAGGCCGACAAGCAGGGAGTTGGCGTAGTCGAGCCTAGATGTAATGAAAGCATGCATAAGGGTTTCAGTGGACTGAGGGGAGAAGCAGTAGCAGAGTCGGGCAATATTGCGGAGGTGGGGGAAGGCAGAGCAAGTCATGGCACGGATGTGGGGGAGAAAGGACAGTTGAGGGTCAAACAAGTCGCCCAGGTTCCTGACTGGCATACATTCTGGTGGTTGATATCAATGGTGGATTCCTGTAGCGTGTTGGTTAGCGGGCTCGACTCTCAAGTGAGAGGACCCAGGTTCGATTCCTGGGCAGGGTGAAACCTTAGGCAAGTTTCCTTACTCATGCGCCTCTATCTGCTTACTTAGCATTAAGTAGGAACCGGGTTGTTAGTTGATTGGCAGATTACTTTTCCGGGGGTAATAATCCCTCAAAAAAAAATAATTTGGTCACTCAATCCACGACTGTATGTGGGACACTGCTGTATGCAATTGGCTGCCGCGTTTCGCCCACAAAATATAGTGTCAATTCACTTTACAGTATATTCTGCGAAGGGCTTTGAGGAATCTCACCGACGTGATAAGGCGCTATATCAAATGCAATGATTATTATTTTATTTGCGACATTTGTTTACACATATTTGAGGCATTATTCTAACCTACTGACCAATGTAACTCTCGGTTTCACTGGAACACCAAGGTTAAGTTGGAAAAATTATTCACCCATTTACTGATTTCAAGTTTTATTTAGAATTATCAATAATTAATTGGACATGAAATATTGAACGTCACAAATTGTTGTGTTCAGAGGAAACAGACCTGTTTTTCATTATTTATTGTGACCAACCTATCTGGATGAAGCGAAGAAGCATTGTAAAAATCATACCACTAAAAATATTTTTTTATATTATATATGGGGGTGGGGGGGTGGGAGGGAAAAGGCTTGGCTGCTTATTTTATAAAGGATTTAACCTATGGGTTAATCAGACTTTGTAGTCGAGCAGAGTTTGCAACTTAATACATGAAACGTAATACTATATTGCTGAAGAAACGACAGTAAATCCATCCCAGGATGTTGCATATTATTAGACATGAAGACTTATTTTCCCACACAACTCTTTTTTTTTTGCAATACACCTGTACAAGAGGTGGTTCGGTTGCTTGGCTCTCTATTTCCATGTGAAGTGGAACGAGCTGTCAAACCTTGGGGTACGTTTGGAGTGGAAATGTAGGATCAAAACCGGTTGCTTGCACAAGCTGCAAACTCCTTTGAACCACTTGGGAGTTTGGGTTGGATTTTCCAGAGGGAGCAACAGCAGAACAATATTATATATATATATATACATATATTTTACCCATTTAGGAACCCAAACTGAAGTTCATTCAATTGCAAATAACTTTTAAGTCTCTCCCCAGAACACTGGCACCCTCCAACATTTTTTTCCCCCCACCCACCCCCTTTCTTTTTTATTATTCTTATTAATGATGATTATGATCATCATAATCAATAAAACCCAGTGGCAAACTTCACTCGGTTGAGTTGCACGTCCAATTCTGCCAATGCACCGAATTGCACGTTGCATGTCGTTTATTCTTGGGGGTGCACTCTCTCTCTCTCTCTCTCTCTTTCTCTCTCTCCTTCCATTCGTGTCATTCATTTGCACTTGCAAAAAAAAAAGAGAGCTAAAAAAAAAAGCCTTTGCTCGTCTCGAATGTATCCCTGCGAGCCGAGCGGCACCTTTACTTGCAGTCCTGCACTTGCCCTTTGATCCTGAGATTAGTGTTAGGGTTGGAGCAAAAGCTCCGGGTAACAGCGGCTCAGCCTCACACTCACTGCCTGACTCTCAGACACAGACCGACCGACACACACACACACACACACACACACACACACACACAGCGACCGACCGACCCTACAGGGCCATCCAGGTGCATCCTCCTCCTGCTACTACTACTGCTGCTGCTGCTGCTCTCACACAACCTCTCACCATTTACACATACACATACATATACACATACATATGCACAACCACGACACACACTCAAAAACAGTGCCTTGGCGTTACAACCACCACCACCACCTCCACCACCTCCTCCTCGCACTACAGTTCACACACCGAATGCACACTTTTTTTTTTCTTTTTGAACGTGCAAAATAGAGAGACGATGAATCTGGAGATTTTTTAAAACAAAGAAGAGATTGCACACACACACACACATATACACACACACACATATATACACACACACACATATACATATGCATACACGTGTATATATATTGTAGCAATATATATGTATATATATGTGTAGATAGATTTTTTTTGTGTGTGTTGGGGGGGTGGGGGGAAGGGGGGGGGAAAGCAAAAAAAAAAAAAATGTGCTCTCCAAAATTTTCCAGGAGGGAAAAATAAATTGCAAAATGCTGCTTTGAAACCACCAGCAGCACTGCCACCACCACCACCACCACCACAACGACAACAACCACCACCACCAGCACCAGCAGCACAGCAAAAAACAAGGAGAAAAAAAATGTGAAGCTAAAAAAAATGGTTTAAAAAAAAAACAGGAAAAGAAAAAGAGAAAGAAAGAAAGAAAGAGAGAAAGAAAGGAAGGAAGGAAGGAAGGGGGGAAAGGAAAAATGCCCCGGAGAAAGCAGGAGCAACCGAAACGCCTGGCATACAGTAAGTGTGTGGCTGTGAGTGAGTGAGTGAGGGAGTGAGAGAGAGGGAGTGAGTGAGTGAAAGAGAGAGGGAGAGAGGGAGTGTGTGTGAGAGAGAGAGAGAGAGAGGAGGGAGGGAGTGTGTGTGAGAGAGAGGAGGGAGGGAGGGAGTGTGAGAGAGAGAGAGGAGGGAGGGAGGGAGTGTGAGAGAGAGAGAGGAGGGAGGGAAGGAGTGAGAGAGAGGGAGTGAGTGAGGGAGTGAAAGAGAGAGGGAGTGTGTGAGAGAGAGAGGAGAGAGGGAGGGAGGGAGTGTGTACTGGTTTGTGCTGCAGCAGCAGCAGAGGTTTAGGGTTAAAGAGGTGAAAACTGACAAAGACAACTGAAGGGGAGGGAGTGGGGGGGAGGGAGGGAGGGAGGGAGTGGGGGGGGGAGAGGATTTTTTTAAAATTATTTTTTTTGGGTTAAAAAAAATTATACAAACCCCCCCCCCCTAAAAAAATAAAAATAAAAGAGAGAGAGCGAGAGAGAGGGAGCAGTGTGCAGGCGGCCATGTTGGTGATCAGCAGGGCTTTTTGTGTGTGTGTGTGTGTGTGTTGTGTTTTTTTGGGGGGTTTCTCTTTTTTTTAAAAAAAATTAAATTAATAATTTTTTTAAAAAAAAATTAATAAAAACGGTATTTCATTGCTGCTCGTTTCGTTGTAACAAGTTTCTCCCCCCACCACCCCCCCCACTCCCACCACTCCCATCCCCCCCCCCCACCCCCCCCACCACCACCCCACCACCCCCCCATCCCCCCCACCATCCCCTTCCCTTTTGTTTTCTCTCTCTCCCCCCACACACACACTCCTTGTCTTTAGGCTCTGGGTAATGCTTTGTGTATGTTGTGTGTGTGTGTATGTTGTGTGTATGTATGTTGTGTGTGTATGTATGTTGTGTGTGTATGTATGTTGTGTGTATGTATGTTGTGTGTGTATGTATGTTGTGTGTATGTGTGTGTATGTGTATGTTGTGTGTGTGTACGCGTATGTTTGTGTGTGTGTGTATGTATGTGTATGTTGTGTGTGTGTTGTAGGTATGTTGTGTTGTGTGTTGTATGTTGTGTGTATGTGTATGTTGTGTGTGGTTTTATTTGGGGGGAGGGTCGTGTGTGTGGTTTTATTTGCATGTATTTATTATCAGTCCATCCATTGCATTGCATGATCGTATGTTGCATTGCTCCCGCGTGTGTTGGGCTGTTATATATATATTTGGGGGGGGCCGGGGTGGGGGGGGGGGGCCGGGGGTGGGGGGGGGGCGCTGTTTCTAGGGTTGGAGGAGGTTGAGGTGGAGGTTGTGGAATGGCCGGTATAGAGAGAGAGGCGGCTGGGAGGGGGGGCTGGGCTGAGGGGGGTGGGGGGGCTGAGGCTGAGGGGGGGGCTGGACTGAGGGGGCTGGGCTGAGGGGGGTCTGGGCTGAGGGGGGGCTGGGCTGAGGGGGGCTGGGCTGAGGGGGGCTGGGCTGAGGGGGGCTGAGGGGGGCTGGGCTGAGGGGGCTGGGCTGGGGCTGGGCTGAGGGGGGCTGGGCTGAGGGGGGGCTGAGGGGGCTGGGCTGAGTGGGGGCTGGGCTGAGGGGGGCTGGGCTGAGGGGGGGCTGGGCTGAGGGGGGCTGGCTGAGGGGGGGCTGGGCTGAGGGGGCTGGCTGAGGGGGGGCTGGGCTGAGGGGGGTGGGCTGAGGGGGGGCTGGGCTGAGGGGGGGCTGGGCTGAGGGGGGGCTGGGCTGAGGGGGGCTGGGCTGAGGGGGGGCTGGGCTGAGGGGGGGCTGGGCTGAGGGGGGGCTGGGCTGAGGGGGGGCGGGCTGAGGGGGGGCTGGGCTGAGGGGGGGCTGGGCTGAGGGGGGCTGGGCTGAGGGGGGGCTGGGCTGAGGGGGGCTGGGCTGAGTGGGGGCTGGGCTGAGGGGGGGCTGGGCTGAGGGGGGCTGGGCTGAGGGGGCTGGGCTGAGGGGGGGCTGGGCTGAGGGGGGCTGAGGGGGCTGGGCTGAGGGGGGGCTGAGGGGGGCTGAGGGGGCTGGGCTGGGTCAGGGCTGAGGGAGGGCTGAGGGGGGCTGGGCTGAGGGGGGGCTGGGCTGGTCAGGGCTGAGGGGGGGCTGGGCTGAGGGGGCTGGGCTGAGGGGGGTCTGGGCTGAGGGGGGGCTGGGCTGAGGGGGGCTGGGCTGAGGGGGGGGCTGGGCTGGGTCTGGGCTGAGGGGGGGCTGAGCTGAGGGGGGCTGGGCTGAGGGGGGCTGGGCTGGGTCAGGGCTGAGGGGGGGCTGGGCTGAGGGGTCTGGGCTGAGGGGGGTCTGGGCTGAGGGGGGCTGGGCTGAGGGGGGGCTGGGCTGGGTCTGGCTGAGGGGGGGCTGAGCTGAGGGGGGGGCTGGGGTCTGGGCTGAGGGGGGCTGGGCTGAGGGGGGGCTGGGCTGGGTCAGGGCTGAGGGGGGGCTGGGCTGAGGGGGCTGGGCTGAGGGGGCTGGGCTGAGGGGGGGCTGGGCTGGGTCTGGGCTGAGGGGGGGGAATGGCAGCCCGCGGTCACAGTGAAAGGGTCAGTTGGATCAGGCCAACACCAGGACTTATACTGAGCACTGACACACATACACTGACACTGACACACACACTGACACACTGTCACTCACACTGACACACACATAGACACTGACACATACACTGACACTGACACACACACTGACACACTGTCACTCACACTGACACACACACATAGACACTGACACATACACTGACACTGACTGACACACTGTCACTCACACTGACACACACACATAGACACTGACACACACATAGACACTGATAGACACTGACATACACACTGACACACTGTCACTCACACTGACACACACACACATAGACACTGACACACACAAACAGTGACACAGACACACACACAGACATTGACACATAGATACAGCCACACACTGACAGACACACACACACACACACTGACACACACAAACACTGACAGACACACACACTGATACACACAGACACTGACACCCACACATACACTGACACAGACACTGACATAGACAGATACTGACAGACACATACTGACACACACACAGACTGACATACACAGACATAGACACTGACACACACAGATATAGACACACACAGACAGTGACACAAACATTGATGCATAAATAAACACAGACCCTGGCACACACTGACACACAGACACTCACTGACACACACACACTCACTGACACACACTCACTGACACACACACTGACACACATAGTGACACAGACATTGACACATAGATACACAAATACACTGACACACATACGGAGACACATAGACACTGACACATAGATGCACACTGACACTGACACACATAGACACTGACACACATACAGACATAGACACTGACACAGACACACACAAGACACATAGACGCTGACACATACACAGACACACATAGACACTGACACACACATAGACACTGACACACATAGACACATAGACAGACACACACATAGACACATAGACACAAACATAGACAGACAGACACATAGACACTGACACACAGACATACATACATACATACAGGCAGCTCCAGCCTCTCAAACCCACTATATTAAATCACCGCTTCAACACCCCCCCACCCACCACACACAGACACACACACACATTGCTGCTTTTTGTTTTATCAACTTTTACATTGAAGATTCAGTGCATTATTTCGCTGCTTTGCTTTGTGTGGCCGGGAGGAGAGGAGAGGGAGAGAGAGGGAAAGGGGAACTTTTCTTGGAGATGGAAAAATTGCTGCTAAGATTTCTGTCTGTGCGTTTGTGTGTGTGTGTGTGTGTGTGTGTGAGAGAGAGAGTGTGTGTTTTCCTCGTTTTCTCTTCCCCCTCTGGCTCTCTTTTTATTCTGTTGTTGCAATGTTGCTTCCAGTTGAACCCCTCCCAGTTCAGTCGGGTTCATGTCTGACAGCCGTTGTGTCAAAGCTGTAGTCGGTCACCTGAAGTTCAGGGTTTTTTAGGGCTTGTGCATTTGCACCGACATCTTTGTGTTTTGTTTTTTATACTGAGGGAGGGAGAGAGAGAGAAAAAGAAAGTCTGTTATTTTACAGTCTTCATGAAACATTGGGGCCTTTCACGTTTGCAAGTTTTTTCCTTCTCTCCAGCAAAATGCAAGCCAGTGGTGGATGGCTTATGATTTGACCCTGGGGTGCAGTGTTTAGGCTCTGCTTTCTCTCTCTCTGTCTATCCACCAAAATTACATTGCTCTGCATGCCCGCTGGAGGAACCTGGCTTGAGGCGATCAAGCTCCCTAATAATATCCAGCATGTGCTTCAGTTGGCAAAACAAACAAAAACAAAAAAATTTCGCCCTTGTTGGTTCATGTAACTAACTGCATTACTGTGTTTCTCTCAATCGGTGCAATTGTGGGAGAAAAGGGGGCAGTGAGTTGCTGGGTTGCAACCCTGCCCAGTTGCGTGACATCTGCCAGACCATTTCTATAGCTGCTTTGATTACTCATGGTTTAGTAAAAGGTCAACAGCACATTTCCATCCCAGAAAATAAAGATTACCGTCCGTCGACCCCGTCCCCACCCACCACCACAAAAAAAAATTGTGACCATATTCAATAGCAACAAACCCTGCTCCCCCCTTCTGAATTTGATTTGAAACTGATGGAAAGTATTTGTTGATCGGGTGTTTGGTTGTAAAAATTGCCAAGGTTTTTATTTGGGGATAACAGCTCTTTTGGCACTCTGTACCTGCGGAATTGTGAATTGTCTTTGACATGTTCTCAGTTGCCAGAATTTTATTTTGAAAACGGTGTAAGATCTCTGAGACGCTACCCCGTGCCAAGGATGCTATCTAAAAACGCATATCGTTGCCGTTGAAGAGTGCGAATGTTTAAATTCCAGCCCAGCAAAGCTTGTAGGGAGAAGGAACACAGGGAATTAAGTTGGAAGATTCTAGCTAAGCAATTTTTTTGTGTGATTTTATAATTTGGAAGGAATAAGTAAGTTACAGTTCAGAGGTG